TGACTCGATGACGCAACATATGTAAGATTCAAAAGCATCAATGCACACATGTTTAACAATCATAAAGTCTATTTTTAAAAGCATTTTTGGTTTGCTTTTAACATCTTTAGCACATAGTTTTACTATTTAGGTGTATTTTGTAACAGAGTTGGTTATCATTAGATCCACAATTTTGATATTTGTTTTTAAGACTTATTTGGCTTATAAATTTTGTACAATGAATCAAATAATATTGGAGGTTAGAAGGGTGCAACTCTTTATACGTTGCAATGTGTGGAAATAGGCCATTTAATATTTCAGTTTCATCTTTCAAAAGCATTTAGCCAGTAATGCAACATGTGGAAAGTATTGGTTGTGTGCTATTAACAATTATACCTGTAACAAACAATAAGTAAGTATTAAATACAGCAATATGGGTAGTGTGAAACAAATGTATGTAGACAGAAAGAAAATTTAAATTGACATAACTTTTTTTTATTCCATGAGTTCAAATCAAAGTCCAGCTGCATTAACCACAATTTTACATTGCCTAGATTAGTGATCATTCTTATCTTCAATGGGAGATATATTAACTCCTAGTTCATTTCAATTTGTACAAACTTTTGCACAACCTTTTCACTTGGATATGAACCACACCCCAGAGGAAAGATGATACAGAAGCCTTGCCAGGCAAGTACAAGCCCCTCTGAATGACCACTGTAATATGTAACTTTGGCCTGAAACAGTGATTAGTATAAGTTCATGATTCTCCACAACCTGTTCAAGAAGGTACTATCTAAACAGAGAACTCTTGCTGAAAAAAAATTCTAAAAATGTTTTAAATAAAGATGTAGTCAATCTGAGTTGTAGAAGGGTATATTATAGCAGTTTTATTTCAGGGCCTTTGTAAGCCTAAACCTCAAAAATTTAATTTGATCGTCCAAACAGAAGTATCTAACTATAAATAGTCCTAGTTTCCAAGACAATAACTTGCCTACCCTCACAAATTAGCTATCATCCTCAGTATGTCTGCCAAAGAGATTACATGCCAATTGCCTTGAAACAACTCCTACTTAATTTCACATGAATTGTACCACTGCATGATGGCATTATCATGTAACAAAAGCTCTCCACCAATAAAAGGGTGACACACCTCCATGCTCACTAACACCCCTATGCACTTGCACTTGGCAATGTAGAGCACAGATGCTTAAATTTCATGTTTGTGTTTAGTTTATTGAGATTTGCTTCATTAACAAAACTGGATTTTGTTTCAAAAGCTTTCAAACTGTTATCATGGATTCTCAATTGATTTATACTTAATCTTGAGTGTGGAACATTGTTCACACTTAGGGCTTCTTTTACTGTGGTCTTTGGAGGCTTATTAACTGTCAGGGTCACTTCAGCTATTGTTCAACGTGTTTTGGATTACCTCAGGGTCACGGGTGAAAGGCCATGTTATCTCGTTGTTCACTCGCATTCAAAATTGTATTGAACTACTATTTCATGAATTTATGTCAATAAGTTTAGTATCAAACTGTAGATTATAATT